TGGAACACGAACGGAATTATGCATTTGGCATGGATGCTCCAGTCACCGTATGCTCTTCAACACGAACGGAAAGCCAACAAATGTAAGCCTGAAAAAACGTGCGTTTCGCTGGACGGAAAAGTCATCCGATGGCGGCTGCTACTACAACACTACTACTACTACTACTACTACTACTACCACCACCACCACTACTACTACTACTACTACCACTACTACTACTACTACTACTACTACTACCACCACCAATACTAATACTACTTGAGCAGCAGCAGCAGTTGTTGTCGCTTTTCGCGGTGGTGGTAACGGTAACGGTGACTGCGACGATAGCCGTCGTCCTCGTCCTCCTCCTCCTCCTCGTTGTTGTCGTCGTGGTCGTGATCATGGTGGCGGTGGTTGTTGCAGTATAAATAGGAGAAAGGGGGATCGGCAGCAGCAAAATCCAACAAGGTCATTGCACCCAGAAATCGAGAGAAAATCGGAAGACTACAGTTTGACAGAGACTCCCGACCCCTTGAAGACAGTAACCGCAAGATATTGTGAGCTTACTCGCTTGCGTAAAAACAACATGTGCGAACGCCTTAGCCTTAAGCCATCTTCCGTGCTGGCTTCTAGGATGGTGACCCATTTCCGCGATGAGGAGCTGCTACTGCCCTTCTTCATCATCCACCATGCCCCCATGTTCGATCGGGTCATTGCAATAGATTACAACAGCACGGACAGGAGTGTTCAGCTATTTGAGGAATATGCGCCACCATCTTGGCAGATCGTGCCTTCTGAGACAGGTGGGGTTTTCAAGACGAGTTCAGCTGTTGAGATCTCCTTTGAAAGAGCCTGCAATGGGCCGAAATATCTGCCCGTGAAACATTCAAATAGCCATGCTCACAGGGCCTGCTGGGGGAGTAAGGCTCTCAAAACTACCCCTAGGGACTGCTCAGTAGACTCCCATAACTCCAAAAACCACGAGGATCTGTATGTGACATGGAAGCTTCCAGGTGAAGTGTTTGATGCTCGGAAGTGCGATGCGCAAGTCATGTTCTGGGAAAAGCAAGTGCCGGAAGACTGGGTTGTCGCTTTGACAACTACAGAGTTTCTGGTGTACCCTGCCATGAGACTGGATCTTCACGAGAAGCAAGATCAGTTCCCTTTTCCCTGCATCATGCATATTCCGAACTTGGCCATGACTCACGGCTGCTGTGGGCAGAGGGTTTTCACCTCCAATTAATTTCTGAATCCCAAGCCGTGGGTTTGGAGGTTTTGTAGGCATACATTTGGATACATACGGGCTCTACAGGGTTTAGGGCCTTTGAGACTTTCAAAAACTCAGGGTCCTTTCTTTGGAGCCCCTTGAATACGGAATTTAGTATGTTCGGAAAGAATTCCGCCAAATATCCCAAACCTTTAACGTTACCCCAAGCCACCTTTAGCCCGAGAGAAAACACAGTTAAGGACTGGTGATGATCGAAGACCCCTTCTTTACTTTCAGCCCTTGCTTCGGCAGCGGCACGTTTTCATGGAAAGATTGAGTCTGAGTCTGACTTGGATCAGGGTCTTTTGGAGTCATTCTTCGAGTCGCAAGATCAGAATGCTGTTCAAAATGAAATTGGGAGCTCAGTGTGGTCCCGTGGACCCTAAGCCCTAAACCCATCCATCTTACTTGGATCAATGCATAAAAGCCTCAAATCCTCGTTTTTTCAGCTTTGTAGGTCTGACAATTCAAGGTTGAGCTACACTGATTTGTCGAACCCACAGAAATCATTTTGTTCAGGGGCTGATTTTCACATGAGCGTATAATCGGATGCCATGGACAAGTTGTAGGGTGTCCTATCGCTTTTGGGCCTTTTGGCGTAGGATACAAGAAAGGTGTCGCTTTTGGGGGGTTCGGCCAAAACACATTCATGCTTCCGTCTTAGATTGAGCGGTATCGCTTTTGGGGGGGGGTCCTATCGCTTTTGGTGCTTTTTTCGCGATTACTATGTCTCACGGCATTCCTTCTCTTCGTGCCTAATAGGCGAGTTTTGGCGATTGCTCACATGTTGGGCGATTCCCGTTGCGACTTTGGGTAGCATTGCGGGTCCATGGTTCCATGTAGCAGTGGATCATGCAGGCTCTGAACTCTGAGCAATCCAAGCCCCTAACGACTCCAAACAGCCAGGAGTGCCATTTCACATTACAGCCGCTTCATGCATTGGGGAACGTCAAGCACCCACGTCTACGACATTGGTCGACATTACTACCTTGACGTCAGGAAAAACAAGACGACACAGGTCGACTATGTTGACAGCCATTAGACTGCAATGGTAAGTTGTTACAAATTTTCCTTAGGTTGTAGAATCCGGGAGCACAAACACCAGGCAGAAAATCCCTCGGCCCCAAACCCTGAGCATTCCAGATGACTTAGGTGGAAATGCCTATGTTGCAAAGTGGTACATGACTCCGTGGCCCGAGCAAATAGCCAGAAAGGTCAACGTGGGCAGAACCATTCCGTTAAGCGACAAGAGGAAGAACTACGGATTCCAACATATAAGGGCATTCGAATATGGTCCCGGGGAGGTCATCAAAGTTCGTAATGATGTCATGAGACACCTGCAAGTCGACCTCTGTGACGACAACAGAACCCAGGAAACATCCATACTCAAGGTTCGACGGACATTCTTTGCAGAGGTTGGGGGAGGTTGCTTCCAATCTGAGGATGGCCAATACCTTGCGTGAGGCAAAATGTGAGTGCCAGTCTTCCTCGTTAGGGTCTGAGCGTTTCAGGTCCCTGCATGCTGCATCTTCTAAATTTTGCTTTTCAGCAGAGATTCAACGTTACGCCTAAGCCCTATAGAGCCTGAGCTTTGACTGACGAGAGGCAGGGCCAGGGTTTCGGCGTTCAATATAGCGACATGCAGCAGCTCTGCTGTAGAGCAGCAAGAACGCAGAAACAAAAGAAAAGGCTTTTACTCTGGCAACCGGCGCTCTACCAGTATTAGGTCCAAGCTTTAAATGCTGAGCGGCAAACCTTAAATGGCGTACATTGTGATGGTGGGCAGTCTTCAGCAGCACTGTTTGGGCTGAAGCACAAGATGACGGGTTCAGCAGGTTGGTTGGGGCCAGCACCAAGTTGCAGCAATTTCCAGCTTCAGGCTCAGGAATCCTCTGCCATCAGGAGCCTCCGAATTTTGAATGCGGATCATTGCTGAGGAACTGCATATCACGTGAGTGCCTCTAGGCAGCCCATCTACAGCTCGTTCTCAGCCACTCTGGTTTTGATCATGTCCACACCCTGGGAATGTGGGGCAGCCTGGTTCTACACGCACAAATAGGATGTCTTTGACAGGCTTGGCGAGCACCAGCCCGCCACCAACCGCCACAAACCGCCACAAACCGCCACCAACCGCCACCAAGAGCCTGCATCTCCTGGCTGAGCGCAGGCCGTCCAAAAGACTGTCAGGGCTGTCGGATTTCGCGGGATTGCGGAAATCTGTGGAATATCTTCGTCACATTTCGTTGGCATTCTGGTCCAAGCCGCAGTCCATGTCAGTAGTACATTTTGACACTGGAAAGTAATTACACGTTCTGCAGCACAATTAGATCACACCAGTATGGTTGCGGAAGCCAGGCGTTCGCCTTATGGACTTCTTCGTCTGGTTGCAGCTGCCGCCGTGGGGGCGATGTTTGCCTTAGCGTTCCTGGCGTCACCGTTCCACTGTCCAGATGTGCCTGTTCCAGTTTCGAGCCATGAGTCCTCTTCCCAGCCATCCGTTTCGCCACTCAGTGTCGAACCACCACCTACCAATGCTGAGTCCAGTGTGCGAGAAACCGGCACCATCAAGCCCGACGCTACTCCAGGGTGCGGGCGCCTGTGTGAAACATGCAATCAGTTCTGTGTCTTGGTTGCCAAGCACGCAAGTTGTTTTTGAGTTCCCCAGTTTCAGCTTGGCCTGCGTAGAGCAAGACCGCCAGCCAGCCAAGGTGTGCCTTGGAATCCACATTTCTTTAATATGTTGCAGGATTGTGGCCACGTGTGTAAGACAGTGCCAGACGGGGTCAACGTGAAGAAGAGCATGGGCAGGTTTTTCGATGAATTCCGCAAAAAGGTGGATTGCCACCAACTGTGGTCCAGCCCCCACATGGATGTGCCAGGTGAAGGGCGCCCACCCAAGTGGCAGGACTTGCCAAGGGAGCTAAAAGAGCTCTACTCTTACGGGGGGGCTGTCGGATTTTCACCATACTACTTTGACCAGAAGTTTTATGGAGGCAAGCAGCATGTGACGGCTGCAGTTCACAATTGGACTTCGGAGGTGATAAACGACATGATCGCCCAAGCCCGCGAGCACAAGCTCAAGGGCACTTATGACGTTGGTGCAACAGAATGTTTGAGAAAAGGCATCATTGATGCTAACTTACAGGGGAAGAGTGTCCTGGTGATTGGTTCGCTGAATCCGTGGGTGGAATCCCTGTGTCTGGCACACGGTGCGGCTGAAGTGACCACCCTAGAATACGCAAGCCTGCATTCCAGTGATGTGCGAGTGCGCACATTGACACCCTTCCAGTTGAGTGCTGCCGTGGAAAGCGGCCTGCCAAGCTTCGACGCAATTGTGACCTTCAGCTCCATTGAACACTCAGGGCTTGGACGCTATGGTGATGCACTGAATCCATTTGGCGACCTGATCACTCTCGCCCGTGCCTGGTGCCTTGCGAAGCCAGATGCCGACCTTGTGTTGGGGACTGAAGGCAAGCTAGCATCGAAGCCAACAATCTTCTTCAATGCACATCGCCACTATTCAAACCTGACATATGCTCAGTTGTTCGCAAACTGGAAGCAGATGACGGTACACAAGTGCTATCAAAGTGTTTTCACCTTGAAGAAGCTCCCTGCTCTGTGAGGAGCGAAAAAGTGTGGCCAAGTGTCTGCCCTTTCCTAGACGTGCTGCCATGCGACAACACATCTCGACATTTCGACGTTACTTCGCACTTGACTCCACACAGTGTGAAATGATGTGCAAGAAACACTGAAGCCCGGCTCAGTACTTTCACTTATCTTAGGGTTCTCCAGCCGCTGTTGAAAAGCAGAAGCCTGCACAAAAAGATAGAGGTTTGGCAAGAACCAGTTCTTGGCACTGAGCTGTTCTCGCATAAATGAAGTTGCTGCAGGCTGGTCGTGAGCCAATTGTCCGCAATCCCAAGCTTCAGCACCCACTGTAGTTTGACTGCGCTGTTGGGGATTCCATTTCCTCTTCTCATCAGCAGTGTGGAAGCAGGTTCACTTGGCCCTGGCTTCAGGTTTTGTTTCAGGGCGCTTCCTGGCAAGGAAGGCCAACTTGTGATGCAATTTTCAGGCTCAAGGCTGCTCGAGGCCAACGTGTCCGATCCAGCCTATGATTACACTTGCATACTTGTTTAGTTCTGCAACCTCTGATTGTGAGGGAAGTTGACGTTGGCATGTGCCATGGAGAAAGCTGCCTACGACAAATTAGCGTTGTCTGCTTGGCGGTGCTGCTGGTTCTGATGCCTTTTCTTTGGCGGAAATGGACGCCATCATGCGTCGGGACGACACTTCAGAAGGACACGCGTTCCACAGGAACAGCTTTACCAGGTGGGAAGTATGCGTGCGCCTAGATTCTGTGGGAACATCGTACTCTCGCTCCTTCTATTCAAGCAACAAATGCCAGGTGTCTTTCCTCATGTCCAAAGAATGTATCAACAGTCTTCTTGTTGAGTGTGAGATTCTGCCATATGCAGGCAGTGCTAGGTCAGAAGCGCTTCATGAGTGACCTCTGTTTGTAAACATGTGCGGACATCGGCAGTGGTAGTTCAGGGCAACGCTGCTCGTTGCGCATCAGCTTTCATTTACATGGGGCATAGGGTCAGCAAGGTGCACAGTTCAGGTTATGGATCACTTCTTATTGCTGTAGTGCTTTCGTAGCAAAACATGCAGTGAGCAACGCCATCAGCATCCCAACGCAACCGCAAGTGTGGCATGGGCAGTAACAGTTGTAGCGCTACTTCTTGCTCTTGCTCCTGTATGTCTCTTCTCTTCTTTGTTGCTGTCGCAGATGCTCTTCTGGTGGTGCTGGTGGTACCGGTGCTGGTGGTGCTGGTGCCGGTGCCGGTGCTGGTGCTGCTGGTCATGATGTGTTGGTACTGGTGGCAGCTGCGGCGGCGGCGGCGGCGGCGGTGGTGGTGGTGGTGAAGGTGGCGGCGGTGGGGGTGGGGGTGAGAGGGGGGTGGCGGTGGCAATGGCCGTGGCAGTAGGAGAAACGGCAGGAAAAGTGGCGTAAAGATTTTACATGCGTGTTGTCAGTGGTGAGTGGCTGTCGCACGGCTTGTTTTCATAGCGGTGCCATTTGCAGTAGCCATCCTGGGGGTTGTCCTCATGATTATCGTAGTGGTAGTCGCCATGGTCGACGGAGTGGTAGCAGGATTATCATGAGTACTGGGTTTGTGGAAGCAATAGTGTAAGTCAAGTAAAAGGCAGTAGTACATGCATGCTTACCAGTGTTAGCAAAAGTTGTTAAAGCACGAAAGCATGTATGTTGAATTTCTGTAGGCTTTACATCCATGTTTCTGGCGGCGAATGGGCAAATGTGTTCCGCCCATGTAAATTGCAAGATGTGAGCTCTGTCCCTTATTACAGGTGGGTCTGCAATTGCCCTGGCGAGCGGTGGGGCATCTGGTGTCCTTTTCAGTGGCCGGCCATTTCGCGAGATGCCGGCCATGGGACCACGCCCTTGTGGCGGTGGTGCTTTGGAATGTGCGGCCCTTGACACAACGGCAGTCGACTGGCTGTTGAATGCAAAAGGCTGCTCAGGAACCCGCTGGGCAGTGCTGACAACAATTAACGGACCAACGCCTGCTGTACAGCAGTTGGCTGAGGCTGATGGATGGTGCATTGCGGTCGCTTGGGTTTCTTAGGGCCTGAGGACCTGTCCATACAGCAACATCACAAAACCCGACCAGCCTTTTAGAAATGCTTGTGCCGCTGAGGTCATCAGCGACCTGAAGGGGCCAGCGAGATACGACCTTCCACGTGCTTCTTCTCATGGCCTTTTTTTCTTGAACGCGTCCCTTCAGAAAAAGCTGGCTGCGGACAGAGCCTTGGGTTTCAGTTTGGGCCATCTGATGCTGAGGAGAGGAGCACTAGATCTGTGGTTTATAAAAAATGCGCGTTGCTCCGCAACTCCCTAAGATTGCGAAAGGTGCCTCCTCTTGTTTGATGGCTTGCTGTTTTTCATACGGTCGCTCAGCGATTCTCAGGTACCTTTGTGTCTTCCATCCCGTGGAATCACTTTGGGCGGAAGAATTTGGGATATCTCGTTGCAATTGCCCGCGGTGCGCAGGTGATTTGGGACTTTGACGATGACAATCTAGTGACTGCTGGTGACTTTCCAGACTTTCCAAGAGGTTTGGATTCCGGCATTTTGCAGGTCTTATGGACGCCCGGGCCGGGGGCACATCTAGGGAGTGGCGGCGTCTTGAATCCTGGATGATTTTGTACATCACAAGGAAAGAATCCAACGGTTTGCTAGCACCGCATCTTACAGCATGGCTTGACTCCAGCCTTATCAGCCAGACAAGGAACATCTATTCAGCGCTTGGGTGCCCTGTTTGGCCATGCTGGCCACGTGGCTTCCCGCTCTCCCTGGCGCGGTCCAGAGCTCCAAACCGCAGCGACACGGATGCAGACCTGCACCTGGGAGCGTCTTCTTAAGAAACAGTAAACAGCTCCTAGCAGCTCCAAGGTGAGTGGCTCCAGAGCAGCGAGCTGAGCAAGCCCAGCAAGCGTGTGGCCGTGCTGCAGTCTTTGGCGGACAAGGACCCCGACGTTGACGCAATCTTTCGCCTGACTTCGCCCAGCGCCACGGAGATCTACTTCCAGCCGCCGGGCAAGGAAGTCCTGGCTTTGCCAGCCTTCACATTTTGCCCGGCCAATGCGCAAGCAGCCTTGCATCGGCGAGATGCCTTTTGGGGGCTCCTTCTGCCAATGACAGTCTCTGGACGAGTTTCTGACATTTGGCGCAGCTATCTCATGCAAAGGCTCCTTTGGGACGTTGGGCTGCTACGAATGCAACGATGAACACCATGAGTTTTAGTACTTTTGAAGAAGAGCCCGAATGTTCCCGGTGATCGTAATGATTGACAGTATTGGGAAGGATTCAAGTAAACCTTCACCCAGTGAGCTTAATTAACACCATCCCTCAAATCTGTGCCGGTGAAATCCCTATTGAGCAACTGAACTCCTGGCTTGATTCCCAGACATGGAGACCTCCGCAAGCATGTTGATGTCAACCAGGGCTTAGCAAGAGGTAGAAGGGATCGGTAAAGCTGTGTGTAGCAGTCGCGCAAGAGGTTGCATTTAGCATTTTCTCCGCCCTTGGTTCGGCAAGACCGGAATGCACACAATTACCTTGCAGACTTCAATGCAGAGCAGCAGTTGTACCTCGTCCCCATACAGGCACAAAGTTTGATCTTGTGGACTAGCGCTTGTCCGGTGAGGAACTAGGAATCAGCGATGTCACAATGATGTCTCTTGCTGAGAGCAGAAAGCAAGGTACACTCAAACGGAACGATTGTTGGAATTCTTGGGCTCTTGGAAAAGTTCGCTGAGGACGCTGCCAGATCGGATGGAGGACCTGATCCCCATTCACCCCGTGAGGCTCCACCTGTGCCCTACTTGGTGGCAAGGTTTGAAAGTACAAGGCTCCACCAAAAAGGAATTGACTATCGAAAGGAACTCTGAGCCTGAAGCCCCCGTCTCGCATCGCCTTAGTCGCTGAGGAGCTGTGGGGCTTGGCCTATGAGAGAGGCTATCTGGAATCTGCAGATCTGTACAGCTTGCGGTTTTGGATCCTGGCGCTGAAAAGGCTCGGTTGTTAGCTGTTTCATGCCTCAAGAACGAATCTGGCTCGTCACCCGCACAGCCTGAGAGACTGATCAACCACAGCATCTTACTTCTTCGGCATAAACATTGCGCCATGCTGACTAAACGGCATCCCAAGAACAGAAGTACCTAAGGCTGTCTGAGTGCTTTGACAAGTCTTTTAAGGGAGATTGTGCGTGGCGTAGATCTACAACCGACAACATGCATTCTGGAAATGCAATGACTCAGACTTGCCAGCGCCTGTATCATTCTTAATCTTGGTCCCGACAGGCTCGGCTATGTGTTCCCAGACGTGACACCACCGTCAACGTCAACGGCCGAGACACCTGTGAAAGTGCCAGAGCCCGTGACCGAGCACTCGGAACACCTGCCTGTTAAGATTCTTGTAGCTGTACCTTCGCAGAAAACGCCTACAGACTCAGATGCTCGCAAGACGGTGCGGCAGACGTGGGCTGGGTATCCAGAGTTCAGAGACAACACGTGCATTTTACGGTTCTTCTGTGAGCTACCGATTCCGGGCGAGGATGATGTCGTTGTGCTAGACACTTTCGGAAAAAGCCGCGATGTGACCATCAATGTGCCTCCGCACGACAAGTTCAAGGGCAGCACTCAGTGGGTAGATTTCAACATGGCAATGATTCGGTGGGCTCTGGCTAACGTGCCCAACTTGACGCATTACCTGCGAATGGATGGGGATGCGTTTTTCTGCCCAAGGGCCCTAGTCGGCATACTAGCAAGCCCTTCCCACCCCATCAATCACAGGCGGAAGACACGGGTAGGAATGGGGCTCAGCAGCACTCACTGCAACAGCTGTGGCTGCGATGAAGCCTTCAACTTGATCTCAGTTGAGTTATGCCAACGACTCGTGCAAGTCTATCCTGACGCCCACCGCAAGTATTCATCAAATTTCAGAAGAACCTTCGCCGCGAACCTGCACCTTCTGCTCAGGTTTGCCGGGCTTCGATCTGGTGATGGTGGAAATATTGAATGGTGGTGGCAAAACTCCCCAAAGCCTGCCATTTTTTTCCCCATTAATCCGGCTGACGTCCCAAAGACAGTCCAGTCTTTGAAGCTGCACCAAGAGGACCCGTGCAGAAACTTCATTTGGGTGCACCCCGCCAAGCGCAATGAGGACATCAAAACGCTCTTTGCCTTGTCGCAATCTGGCAAGGCGGGTTGTTTGAAATCCACTCCAGGCTGCTACAAAGCTACCGCACAGCACTAATGCGGGTATCATGTCCGCCGGAACACTCAACACATATCAAGCATGACCTTGGTTCAGGGAATGGAGCAGCATGACAATTTGAGGCTTTTCGGGCTTTTCAGCTGCAGGAGCCGGGATTCAGGTTTGACGGATACTGTAGCGGTGTTGCTTCTTCTGAGCAAGGAGTGAGGAGATCAGATGGCGTGCCAACACTATGTAGCTTACCTGCTTGCTGTTGTATTTCTTTTTTCCAAGGCAAGAATCCAGCTTTGTCCCCAAAAAATGAAGATCATAAATTCATACGCGGCGATGCCTGACTTCGAAAAGGGTGAGAGTGGCACTAACAGTCTCATGAGGGATATTGATCATCATGATGATGATGTGACCCAGATCATGACAAGTAACCAGGACCAAGCAGTACTGGCAAGCAATCGCTAGCCAAGACGTGTCCCTGTCCTCAGGCTGGAGGTGCGCTCCCTCTTCCGAGCTTGCATTGGACCGTGCTGAACTATACGAGCTGCAAGGAGTGGGGCTGGGCAAAGGACATACCTCTGAGTTGATCCCAGTCTCGCGCATCGTGTGAAAACAAGCAGCCCGAGGTCATACATTTTGGTCCTCAGTGGTCTTGCGCAGTGTTCGATGTCTCATGTGCTCCCACAGTTGGTCCTCAGCATGCAGTCCGTCACGTTACCTCTGAAGGTGACAGCTAGTGGAGAACATTTCCTGAAAAAACAAGACAATATCCGTAGCCTTCCTGCGATTCTGAGACCAGAGATGAAAGAAATTTTGCTACATCCTGGAATCCAGGTTACTCAGTACTTTCGCTTCATTCGTTTTCTGAGTTTTGATGACTGCCTTGCTGCCTGGCGGATGACATGCGAAGATGGAAGTTTTGACGCAGCCCGGCGCGGCTTTACAAGTTGTGCGTAGTCCAGCAATAATAATTCAGATCAGCTGTGCCGTGCAGGGGGTTCTCGCAGATCTATCAACAATGCCTCGTAATTCTTTCGGCTGATGAGTCGCCATGTGGTGGTCGTGGCCGGTGCCTTGGGCATTCTCTTCCCTAGCATCCTTGTGAGGTCTTCGATGTCACGTCACCGCCGCCGCCGGATTGGTCCATGCATGGACAAGATGCGTACTAGTATTGTTATACTCTTTTCTCGATTTTGTTGTGGCCACCTGGCTTGTCCTGCCTTTTCACTGTCGCAGCTTTTTTCACAAGTCTTAGTAACATATGCGTTGCCTTGCGTGGTTAGTTTTCATCGAAACTGCACGAAGCTTCTCTCTGAACAAGTTTATGCAGATCCTGCTGAGTTTTCGGCTTTTCTTTTGTACACCAGCATTTGTTAACAACCTGCTGCAGTTTCTTGTTGGCGTGCTCGGTTGTACCCCTATCCATCTTGAATTCGTATCTAAAGTTCTGACAACATCGAATTTCTTTGATATGTTCTTACAAGACGCACCGAACCGACGCTGAAGCCGACGCGGCATATGAGCAGCGGTTTTTTTTACGGTAGATTAATTATAAGTGGGCGGCACAGAAACTCGCCAAATCATGATCCGAAAACTAGGTTTTCCTGGGCGCGCGGAAGGACACGGAAGCTCGGCGGAAACATTTCTTCGCGGAAGGGCTTGCGGAAGCTCAAGTTTTCAGAGTCTCTGGCTCTCAATATGCAAGTGGAACCAGCTATGCCCAACCATTTCACTACAACCTTGAAGCCCTGAACGAAGCCACTAAAATGCTTTCAGGAGCATGCGTTCTTGGGTCTGAGGATTATGTATGCAAGCTGCAAGCTATCCGAAAAATATCTCCGCGCATACGACGTTCGCGGAAGGTCTGCGGAAATTCAAAATTGGATCTATACCCATAGCTTTGTTTCCGAAGTCTTTTCTTCACTTGTATGAGAAAACCCCAATGAGTTGCTATTAGTGCGGCCGTATATAGCTGCCATTTCACAACTTCATTCTTATGAAACTGAATCGTTATTATTCTGACCGCGTGTAATATCCAAATCCCAACTTGATCACTGGCCCTGGTAGTCAATACGTTTAGGAGCTTGGGACATAAAGGGAAGGGCATATGGTCTTCGTGCCGAGAGGTGCTTCTGTTGCAAAGGCATGCTTTGCCATCTACCCTAATGCAAGAAGTTGAGCCTTTTCATACTTGGACACATGCAAGGCCAGCATCTGTCTTTGCGCTGCAAGCGGCTCGGCGACCTTAAAGATGGTTTAGGGGGGTTCGGAGTGAAGGTTTAAGGGATAGAATGCTGAAGCGTTGAACTTGCTTTGTGTGCATCTAAGATATGCGCAGCATTGCAGGTTGGAAAGCCGGGAGGGCAGTTTGTCTCAGGTTCCAAATCGACTACAGCAACACAGTACATGGAGGACGGAAATGAACTCAGTAGAGTCCATTATTATATCCAATGCTATCCCATGTGCGATAAGATATGCTCCAGTCTGATAAGGAATAACTAAATGTTGCTTTGTTTTCAAACCACCTTAGTGTTTTCAGTTGCCTGAGAATTGAAATCTCTGCTCAGACCTTGCGCGGAAACGCTTGCTGGCTCACAACCGATCTAAGGTTGAATTTCACTGGGTTCCATACCCCGACCGAGCGATGCTTTGTTTGTTGTCGTTTGATCAGCTTCCCTTCATCTCAGCAATATACCTAAAACCCAGCAACGAGTACAAGCATACAAGCATATGGTGGACGGACAAGCTTTGGATCCTGAGTCTGAGGTGCGCTGCTGGTCCTGCATCTGGTCCTATGGCGACGCGTCGCGGCAGCTCCGGCGCAAAAGTTTCAGTGAACCCTCTGTGACCTTTGTACTGTCGTGCAGTGCTGCTGCCATTGTTCTGCAGTATACTATGAGTACAACGATATGCCATGGCAAACTATGGGGTTGTGGACCAGAATGATCCAGGGTGCACGTTGCAGGACAGCCTCTTCTCTGACATGTAGAGCACCGTACCTTGAGTTCTAATTCTTCTAAAGCTTTCGTCTGCACACTGCGTTGTGGTACCTTCGCCTGACCTGCAGCTCAACTTTGCATGAGAAGCAGCATGAGAGACAAACGCGGTTGAGAAGTCACCTCTTAGCTTTGAAGTCCATGGCAAGCCAGACAGAGGCCGATGGATTTGATGACAGCTCCCAAAGCACCGTAGGCCATATCGCCATCTGAGCACTCGGCTGCCGATGCGCAGTGTGAAATGTTTTTTCCTGCTTTGCCTGTTCACTTTGAACACGTTGTGGCTGCTAAACCGACAGATGAGATGGCTGGGTGGCCCGCCAGGCTCGACAGTGACCTTGGGTCCAGTAGACGTGGCTTTCTTTCATCAGACAAATGTCTTGAACAGCCGCACCAATGCATCCATTAGAAGCGTGCGAGACCATATGCCGCGTGCACCCTACTATCTGCTCAGCGATGGCGGACCCGACTTTTCGGGGGCGGCACGCGATTTCAATGTCTCCACGTTTCGTGCTGACGGCATGCACTTGACCAGATCCTTGAATCAGAACTTCACTTGCCAAGCGCACCTGCAGCGATTTGCAGAGGCAGCCAGATGGGCGTCGCGTCAGGGAGCGACTTTTCTCATTATTTGGGAGGATGACACCAGGCTACTGAAGCCATTACGGACAGCTCAGGACGTTGATCTCAACACCATGGGTAATGTCGGTAACCTGCACGTGGCGGTGTGGAACCCCGAACTCCGGCAGAAATTGGAGACCACTCCAAGGAATCAGTTGGCACCAGGCGATGCTTGGAGCCTCAAAGATTTTTTTCTGACCTCACCTAGCCCAAGGCCCTAGATAGCCCTAGATATCCCCGACATCATAAATGGCCCAGAAGCTACAGGTGATGAGAGGCGCGTGAAGCAACATGATCGATTCCTGGCGCGGGGTGGATGGTCTGCAGGTCCTGGGAGCATGTGGAAGACCCTTTGTCAGAGTACGCATATCCCACGAATCCTACGCAGTCTACCTTACTTAGTTGTAATACTCGTGCTTTACGCCGTTACGCCCGAAAGTCAGACAATGTTCAAGCTTGCGTTGGCCCTGGGAACCCTCACATCCAAGGATTAGCTCCTTGCTGGATGCTCTGCAGACAACCCCTGAAAGGGACCTGAAGGACATGTATACAGAACAGGACATGTGCTGGGAAGAGTTTGCCATCACCAACAGTCTGGAGATAAGACGGAACCCCGAAGTTCAGCAGATCGTTTATCCTTTCAATGATGGAGAGTTGACTGGACAGAGTTCGGATCCTGGCAGGAATCTGAGATGCTTGGAATGCCTAGACGCTTGCAAAGTCTCCTGCGGTTGTGGTGAGGTTCTTTCCTGGAGTCAAAGCCTCCAGTACTTCTGGGAGGGCTTCCTAAATCTTCTGATCGGGCGTGGTTTCGCCTACCGCTCGAATCTTCTTTGGGAGCGGCAGTGCCAGCAGCCTTGCAAGAGCCACTGCTGGACCCCTTGCTCCGCGCAGTGCAAGCCCCTGTGCCCTGCTGTGGTGCATCCTCACAAGAAGCCCATCCTAGATTGCGCGTAGGCTACAAATCGTCAAGTCCCCTGCGTCTTTGCGTTCCCATTTGAGAATCCGCCGCCCGACCCTACCTGCTTTTTTGTGTTCTTCTCCGCCGCTTGCACTTTTGCTGGTCGACACAGCCACGAAGGTTTGAACCTTGGCTTAACTTAACACAGCGACAGCAGCAGACGTGAGCTGGCATACGAATTGTAAGCACGCGTCCAGGATTGATCGTTCAACTCGCGACGAAGAGCCCTGGTTGTTGTGCTTGTAATCGTTGTAGATCCTCCTGTGTGTCTTAGCGGAGTGGTAGTGAGAGCATGACAGCACACTAGCTTAGCTTTCAGAGGACCCTGCTCCGTGAGCCTGAATATTGCTGGATCATTGTTGAAGGGCATTTTTTTGCATGCTTATGGATACTAAAACCAACAAGGATTAAGCATGATCACTTTTACATACTATCCCAACTATGGTTCAGATTGCTGAATGACTTCACGAAAGTATCTAGGGTAAGGGTTAGAGTTAGAGGGTTGCGATAGCGCCCTTTGCGGGTCTCGCGACCACCATGGGGCTGTGGACCTTGGTCGTCTCCTCTGCTGTGGTTGCTTTCCTCAGCTGGGCAGGGTGCCCCCGGGACTTTGAGAAACATGGGGCAGTATCGCGTAACCACTAAACCCTAAACCGCTAGGCCCAAAACCCTAAACCCTAAACAGGTACTGCAGCAAGCTAGGCAAAGAATCAGGTATTGAACAAAAGTTGTGCTAACAGTAAGCCATGCAAAGAAGGATCAGCTGCTCAATTGGGTTACCAGGAGAAGAGTTTTTCGGTTCAGGTACCACATTCGGAGCGTGATCGTGGACAACTGCGATCACTGTGACACCGGCGGTGGACAGGCCAGGATTCACGTGGATCATATGGAACTTGTTGCATGATTTCGCACCTTGCGCTGGCACTCTGCATGCCATCATTATGGTATACGGTACTGTGTTGTATTGTATTCTATTGCGCTGTCGGAGAAGGTCGTATACCAGTGATCATTATGCTGTAGTATGCTTTAAGATCGTATCTGCAGTGTAGGATATGACCGGCAGGACCCCCAGAAAGCTTTCGAGAGCTATGCTGAGAGGGCTGAGCAGTGGAAGGAGGGGCGCCTTGAGGACGCCAGGGTATCTGCTAAAGACTACGCCGCCTTGAAGAGTTTTCATGAGGTTTCTCATCTATCAGATGTTTTCGTTTCTTAGGGGTTGTCTTCATAGCGTAGTTTTCCCAAATTAAGTCATGGTCTCTAAGGGTCCCTAGGTCTTGGGGTCCCTTGCGATCGAAGGGATGAAAGTTCGCAGGTCTAAAACCCCAACCCCAATAACCCCTACACCACAGCCCAGCAGGCTTAAAACACAAAATCCCCAACCCCTAAACTTAAGGGTTCTCTTTCATACTGGGAGGGTTGTGAGCCTACCCCCTCAAACCGTCTGCATGATACTATGCATGGTATAGTCGGTATTGTGTATTGTTGAATTGTTTCGAAGTTTCTATAATTTGTCTGCCGTCCGTCTGTCATATGATGTAGATTACAGTGGTTTTTCGGTGCTCTCGGATAATTCAGTATACCTTGGATACTGCCCCTACTCCTTGTTAGTAAGATAAAATTTGGTCACAGTTGTAGAAAGGCTATATTAGGATCCCTATTCAGAACTGTTACGCGGTGGGGGCAATACCCAAGCTAAAGCCCAAGGAACCCTAAGGACCCCTTTAAAAAGGACCCCAACAAGGAAGCCTAAGGACCCCTATAAGAACCCCCTATAAGGACCCTTCTAAAGGACCCCTATACCACCGTAGGACATAGCTTCCTGGAAGGATTGGGACAAGGCTGTTAGCGGGCCAGCTTCGAAAGCCGAGGCGGAGGAGCCTTTTGTAATCGGCTTAGGGTGCAGGCTTTAGGACTCAGCAGGGCTTTTTTTTGAAAATTTTTAGTACCCCCCCGAATCCCTATATGATCCTTATAAGGCCACTAAAAATCTCAGGTTTTTGATAGGGCCCTAAATCTACCCGAGTTAGGATGTTAGGTTTTGGGCTGTTGTTTTTTGGGGAGGGTTTGGATGTTGAGCCTCTGGGCTGAGGTTAGCCTGGGCCACCACCAATTCCGAGGTTTGAATCATGGGCCCTTAGCATGGTCCCTTGTTGATGGGGCTCTACGCAGTTATCAAGTGGCACTATAAGGCTTGACTAGGGCACTACTATATCTAAGGTTTGAACCATGGGCCCTTAGTATGGTCCCCTAGCCTTATTTATAGGGGTTCTAGCTATGGGCCTTGTTATATACAGTCTACATACAAGAGTTATGTATAGTAGGGTCCCAAGTTAAGGTCCCATACTTGGGACCCTGGAGCAAAGCACAGCACAACTCCGCAGAATTCGTAGTTCTCGTTGTGCCAGTTCGCCAAGAAACCATGTCTGCAAAGGACTGTAACAGCCCATTTAAAAACAAGCAGAACACCTCCTAAAGCCTAACGATTTTTGTGAAATGCAAGCTCCAAAAAGCCTGACCCCCCAAAAAGAACGAAATGCGAGCTGCTGAAGTCCCCCAAACAAAAACGCATCCCAGAGGAGCTCCAGCCCTTTCTTAAATGGTTCGGCTCCTTCCTGGCAGAGAGGCGGTGGCGAGGGGAAGGGTGTGGTCTTTGTTTAAATCGCTCTTTTCTGTTATTCTTGGTAAGGTTTTACCGCAAGTGCCCTTTGCTCCCCATAGGTTTTTCGTAGCAATTCAACCCTTCAGCGATCCTGAACCCGGTATCCCGAAGTGGCAGGAACCTCCCACGGAAAGTCGCACCGGAGCAGGGTCCCATGTCAGGTACATAGTTTCCCAGGTATAGCCCAGGGACAGTCCATAACAAAACCCTAAACCCTAAACCCTAAGCCCTCAAAGCCTTGTCAGGAACATAGTTTCCCAGGTATAGCCCAGGTATAGTCCCTTTGAAAAAGGCCTTCAGAGCCTTGTCAGGAACATTAGCTCTGTGGTGGACGTGTCTTCCGGGCACTGGCCGTCGGGCTGGCAGCGCGGCGTGGGCTGGTCGGGCCAGGACACAGTGGACGTGTTTTCCTTCCATTGCAAGAAATAGCAAAACTCCGGACCACCAGTAGCAACTGCAGTACAGTAGGATGGTGGAGTGTTGCATAGTACAGCGGAAATTTTTTGGGTTTCGCAACAGAAACGAAGCGCTTGTTCAGACTTGGGGGGGAAGATATTTCTTTTTGGAGTTGGCTTCAGCGTTGGCAGCTTTCATTAATGTAGAGGCTTGGGGCCGGGGGATGGTGGTTCAGGATTACCTTGGGGTGGACATCACCCCCAAGATGATCGAGGACAACGCGGCCTTCTTTCAGGACTCTTCCTCTCCCTCGGCAGAATCTGTAGCAGCTCACACAGGTTGCACACCGCACACCGCAAGCCCGAAGGCGTTTTGTGAGCTGCGGACTAAGGTTGCGGGGGGGACCCTGGGGGACCCTATAGGAGCCAAATATGGAAGGTATAGGGGGACCTATGAGGGAATATGCTAGACCTTTAGTCCAGAGGTCCTATCAAGAAGAGTTCAACAAAGTGCCTAGGCCCTAAGCAGCATGGCACACTCCACCCCAAGCGAACCGTCCTACTTAAAAATGAAACTTGCTGTATCTACAGTTGCGACTCATCATTTATGCCCGAAAAACTGGGTCATTGTTGAAGGGCATTTATTTTTTCGTGGATACTACTAGTAAACCCCAACAGTAATTAGAAATCATCATATTCTTAGATACTATCCCAACTAGGGGTTCAGAAAAAGGGGCGCCTCATGTCTGCTTTCCTCCCTTCGGGGTTTCTTCAACAAAAAATCAGCCATGCCCCGTGTTCTTCAGGACAAGACGCCCCAGGAATACGGCTTCTGGGGCTTTAGTAGTGTTTTTTCCATTTTCAGTCATCCTTACAAGGCCAGTAAACATAGATTTCTACAAGGCCCCTAAATCAACCCTAGGCTTGCGCTCCGCAACCTTTCAAGTTGGGGACATGATGAAAGAGCTGCCACCGGCAGACCTACTGGTCACCAAAGTGCGGTGCCCAGGTTGAGTGCAGTAGTTTGGGCCTTGTTATAATGAAGCTTCCTTATGATAAGGGGTAGAATAATAGGGACCTTAGTTTAGACGAGGTTCCCAACACCGTTTCCAGGGTACTGCCCCCCACCCTGTAACAGCTGGATAGACTTTAGTTACAATTACAGGCCCTATTATGATCCCTATAAAGAACTGTTAATTACAGGGTGGGGGCAGTACCCAAGCAGTAGTACTTGCACTCTACCGAAGTACTGTGCCATCGTGTGTATTTTATGAGCCATGGTCTAAACTCCCTAAAGGAAGGGGGTTATATAGGGGATTATGTAAGGCTCCTAGTCTAGTATTCTTAAGGAGGATAAAAGGAGTTTAGACTAGAGCTCATATTATTGTGAAGTTCATTGCCGTCATAGGATCTTGCAGTAGGGAACTGCACAGAGAGTGCAGATGTTTGGGACAGAACTTATGTGGCAGGGCAAAATTGGTGCGACCAACAGAGGAGATCAGACTCTGCTCTCAGGACACGATCATCCATATTCCGAACTGGGCTATATTGAAGTTCCTTGGCCATTGTTGAAGGGCATTTGTTGAAAACATTTTTTGTGGAGACTAAAACTCAACAAGGATTAAGAAGTGATGATTTTAATTGCTATCCCAACTATGGTTCAGGTTCCTGGAAACCAATGTCAACGTCTGCCCCCCGCGTTTCAAGGAAGTGCTGTTCATCCATGACCGAGTCATGGTTGGATTTAAGGTGTCCGGTCTGAGACGCAGTAAGAAGGATTCTGCCAGAATCCGTCTTGCTGAACACGACCGATCAGGGGTGTAGAGCCAAGTGACCTAAATTGTGCATCTTACTACTGCAGATCATGGCACCTGCGGACAGAAACAGAACGCCTGGGCAAGCTGGCTCCACAAATGTGGGCACTGCAGGGTATTGTAGCAGGGACCCAAAAGTTCCACCAAGCCGGGTAGCAGAAAACCGCACGAGGCTTTCTTCTTTTGCGGTGCTTTTGACCATGGTATGGTTTGATGCCTTCAGCGATGTAGCAAGCATCCAAGTCGCCTCCCAGGTCCACCTTACTGGAAGTTTCGTTGGGGAGGCGTGCCCCTGGTGCGCCACATTGTCAGGCACCCCAAAGGGTTTCAGGTAGGATCTTGGAGGCCTCAAGCTGAAGACTCAAAGACCCCAAGCTGCACAATAATCTTGCGTCTAAACGGCTAAAGCGGATTCTTGTTTTTAAAGGTTCCTATTCCGGGACTTCTTAAGGGGGACATAAGGAGTTTATTTAGACTGGGTCATTATGTGCCTATGATGTAGGGTCCCTTTTTGGGGTTTTGTAAAAATGAAGCTTCCTTATAACTAGGGGTATCATAGAGATCTTAGTTTAGACGAGGTTCCCAACACCGTGTCCACAAGTTGGGTACTGCCCCCACCCTGCAACAGTTGGATAAACTTTAGCTGCAGTTATAGAAAGGCCTTATTATGATCCTCATAATCAGGACTGTTGCAGGGTGGGGGCAGAGGGATTCTTTCTTGCGCCGGCAGGGCTTCCAAAGTCACAAGCGCACTGCAACAGCGCGGCATGAGCCATAGTCTGAGCTCCTAAATACGGGGGTTACATAGGGCATTATATAGGGTTCCTATCACGGGGCTTCTTGAGGGGGGATATATAAAGAGTTTATTTAGCCTATACTTCATAGACCTTGATCCAAGCCAGCCCTAAACCCTAAACCCTTGGCAGGAACTGGGACTGCCCTCGCTTCTCGGACTTCCACGAGATCGACTTAAGGGTAGCACCCTATCACCTCGACGTGGCTGGGTCTGAACTCTTAGGGTTCCTTAGGCTCCTAAGGGTTATCAAGGGTTCCTTAGGATTTTCTTAGGATTCCTTCGGGTCAGGATAACGACTATAGTAGGGAGCTTGGGGCCTTGGAGGAATCGGGCTTTAAGGATGGCTGCTTTAGGGGAGGGGGGGGGGTTGGGTTCCTAAAGTTTCTAGAAGCCTTAGGGTTTTCAGGGGGTTCCTTAGGGTTCTTTAGGGGTTCTTTAGGGTTCTTTAGGGTTCTTTAGGGCTTAGGTTAGCCCAGTGGCCCCCTTTTGCCCTGTTTTGGGTTTGGGTTTCCTATAAAAACTACTCAGGAGCAAAAAGGGTACCCTTACCATCTCTGTGGATACTAAAACCCGACAACGATTTTTTTTGAGACATCATTTTTAAATATTATCCCAACTATGGTTCAGAAGCAGTCAGGGCTTGATATTTAAAGGTATAATTTTTAGTACCCACCACTCCCTATACAATCCTTATATGGCCACTAAAAGTCCATTTTGTAACAGGGTCCCTAACTCTACCCTAGAAGTAATGACTCCCTATAAGCACCCCCGTAAGGAACTCTATAAGGAGCCCCTAGAAGGACTTCTATCAGGACCCCTATAAGGATCCCTGCAAGGACCCCTATAAGGAGCCTTACAAGGAGCCTTACAAGCAGCCCTATAAGGAACCCTAGAAAGAACCCTGAAAAACCCTAAGGAACCCTCAAGAACCCTGAGGCTCCTAGAACCTTCAAAAGGGTACCACTTGGCTGCCTATAACCCTAAAGGGTTTCCTGTAGTTTGTTCTACAGCACCGGGGCTGCCAAGCAGGTTGCCAACGTCTTCGAGTTCAACTCTTCCACCCGGGCAGTCACTGGGCTTCGGTTTTAGCGTTTAGGGTTTTAGGGTTTAGGGTTTTAGGGTTTAGGGTTCTGTGGGGGTTGTTCTACATTATGGTCCCTTTTGGGAGGGGTCTACAGGGTTTAGAGTTTACGGCTTAGCTTCTTTTTGGCTACCGGTCACAAAGATTTCTTGTACCGCCAAAAAAAGGTAACTTCCTGCTTGTGTAGTGACCTAGGACCGGGTGATGGACAACCCCAAACTGGTCCAGTACCTGAAGACAGATTGCGGTGCGAAGTCGGGCTGAAGAGCCGCTCATAGCACCTGATCGTAGCAAACGTTTGGGCAAGCAGGTGAGCCACAGTCAAAGCTCCTAAATAATTGGGGTTATAGGGCATTATTATATGGGGTTCCCATTATGGGGGCTTTTTAAGGGGGATATAAGGAGTTTAGACTATACTGTAGCTCACGTATCCTAGGTTGTATGTACTACAGCTTCTATCACGTATAATTTCTAAGCTCTAGAGTACCCTGTTAAAGTGCAGTCGTACGGTGCCGAAAAACCGGCCGAAGCGTGGACGTAAATCTGTTGAACAAAAAACCATGGGGACGAGGGGGGTTTGCAGTTGCATAGAATTTCATGCAGAATGGTATACTAGCGTATGTTACAGCGTGTTATGGCACACTGTGGTATGCTGCGATGCAATCATAAGCGTTTGCGGGAGTAGAACATAACATACGGTAGCACACTGTCTTGCAGCATGCCTGGATTGCCCTGTTCGACTTCGTCATAGCCCGGCTGTGTGTCAAGGAGGAACAACCTGGCAGGACGGGAGACCAACAACAACTGCAACAACAACAGCAACAACAACAA